TTTTGAATTCTGTGTCAAAAAATAATTCATGATATCTAGGCAAAGGTAAAAGTGAACGATTTCAATTACCATTTTCGTGTCTGCAGCCTTGACATTGCTCTAAGGTAAATAAAGCTAAATCCACATGCGTAATTACTTCAGCTCCTTGTTTTCTCAGCTGTCTGAAATTATTCCTTTGTAATATCCGTGTGACACGAACTAAAAGAAGAGCGTTATCCACAAAGATCAAGAAATAAAAATAACTTGAGCTGAATATTTTCCCTAAATGAGAAATATGATTTTTTTGCTTAACGCCTCGCAAATTGTAGTTGTGGTTCATTGTTTAAAATCTTACAACACAAAAAAAACATGCAGTTGGTAGTAAATTTATTCTCAATTTTTGAAATGTTTAATCATAATTAGTAATTGGACGTCGTATAACATACACCCGACAATTTAAGATACACAATACTTTCTTGAGCCCTACAATTTTAAACAGCCCTAGGCGAGAGCTGTTGCGAATTTTTCTGAGGAAGGAATTGGTAATATACTTCATAGAGGAGCATTAAAGGTATTTCAACTAAGTGTCTTTTTTTAAATCCAATCGAAATGTAAAAGTATATCTTACTTATAGGGGCTCACAATACAAAATCGTGTGAATTTTAAGTTCCATTTAATTTACTGTTTATAGTGAACACTCTAATACAATTAGCCATTAAATGCACTTCGGGTATATAAAAAATTGAGTAAGAGGCTGTCTTTATCATTGTCCTTTATCTTATTTAAAAAGTGCAACTGGAAACCAAGTAACACAGAGAGAAAAATATAAAAGAAAAAGAAAAATTAATTTCCGCAGTTACCCATGCGCTAAAAATGATGTAAAAGCAATCGGTGGCTTTTTGTGTAGGATGCAGTTATCTAATTCCGAGTAAAAGCAAGGGATTTTTTCCAACGAACTTATCAAATCGTTACCGCTAAAATCTTTTCTATGAAATCCTTTGAAAACAGTTTTAAAATTTTTTCCAAAAGTTACCCTTAGATATCTGCATTCGATGAAAAATGGACAATTTTTCTTAGTGGTAATCATATCTCAACAAAGTTCTTGAATGATAATATCATCTTCAATATTTAATTTTTTTCAATCGGGTTTCGGTCAATGGGACTCAAGCAATTGTCAACAAAATGCTCAGTGCCTCCAGTGAATTTATTTGTGAGCTGTAGTCTCAAGATGAATTCGTTGAAATTAAGAAACTGAATTGAATCTAGCAGTTTCAGATTTATGATACCGCTAAGTTTAAGGTTGATTTAACTGCTGTGAAATGATATGGAAAGAGCTCTATTTAAAATATAATTGTATTTCTTTGAACAAATTTTTAAACTCTTAACCAGAATTTAAGATTCACCTTTGAATTTCAGAAACTGTTAAGAGTTAACTCGTGCTATCGAAGTGAAATTACACTATACCTATCAATTGGAGAAAAAATCAATCAAAAATTGTTCTATCACTGCATGGTGTGTTAGCCAAACTCCAAACAATCAATATTCTTTGATCTTAAGTTCGGTACTCTTATTAAAATTTGCCTTTCGAAGGGTGAAGATCATTGTTAACGATTGAGTCTAGATTCATTTACAGGATAAAAAAATTGCGAAGTGTTCTGGAACCAATCCAAATGTATGGTTTTTCAGCATTCTGTCCAAAAATAAACAGGCAGAAAATTTGATAAGCGTTAATATGAAAGTACTTTTCTTTACCCTCGCTCTAGTACGAACACTTGAGAGTTGGTAGCTTACACCTTCCCATTTCAGATACAATGTGTTTGCATTTACATTCTCTTCTGTGCAATATATAGGTGTGGCAAACGCATGATGAAGGTGCTCCTT